TTTTTTTATGAATTTACTGATTCTGATATATTTTTTTAATTTTTTTACACTTGTTATACTATTATGTGAAACCTTAGTACTAGCTACAGGCTCTAAATTTAAGTTCATGTTTAAATGTAAGTTTAAGGGTCCTCCGGGAGATGCCATTAGTTCTTCAAATAGGCTTTGCGTGTGTGCCGTTTCTTGAAGTTGCTGAGCTTCTGTATACTGAGCTATTTGCTTGTTTGCTACACAGAGCTCTCTTTCAAGGTCCGTAATACGCTGTAGCGCCCTCTCAAAAGTGTCAAACTGCTGGTCATAAGTACTGATAGTACTATTCAGTTCGTCCCGTTGTAAAACAACTTCTACATGTTGAGAGTGTAGTTGGGAAAGCTCATTTTTGAGCTGGGTATTCTTATCAATGATTTTCTTGATTTCAGTTTCACTCTCATCACGTTCACGAAGGAGCTGACTGCAAGTTTCCTTTGTTAACTTCAGTTCTTCCAGGGTTTGCCTTTATTTAATTTCAGTGTTTTGAGCTGTAGCTTTGCGGGTCATCATTTTTGTTATTTGTATAAAAATCTGAAATAATTATAACAGTATAAGTTTCTTTTAATATACTTTAGAGACAAGGGCAATTCTTTTTATATATAATATAATTTGTGAAAGCAGATTCTTTTTTTTATGAAGAGGGACTGTAACTATGGGAAAAGTTAATGCTATGAATATTAATGAATAGTATTTATTATATTAAATACTTTAAAAAGCAACTATGTATACTTTCACAGCTCAAACAAAGTTGGTAGACAGAACAGATTCAATTTAATAGACTTATTTTAACTTTGTATCCAGCTTAATGTGACAGAAGTAAGTGATGTCAAATTTAAGTTAATTATTCAATCTTTGCCAAATCAAATATTGAATATTTGTTTATTATCATGTATTTTGGTAAACAATTGATGAAATGTTCGTGATAACTTATAGAATTAAATATAATAGAATAAAAACAAAACTGTTAAACTTTGGATGAGATTGTTTTAGAATTACCTACATATTATAATACTTATTGAAATTTTTGAACTGTTATATATTTATGAAATAATGAAAACAATACTCCCCAGGCTTAAGCAATAGCCATTCCAGAATATTTGGTGCTAATATTGCTTATCAGAGCCGATATTTCTTCAACTATCCGTTGACAGTTTGATGAGAACTTGATGTGTTGTTTATTCAAAATCCTTGTATTGAAACTTCGTGATTTCAATTTTACATAACTAACACAATATTATCTCACTGTTTATTGTAACTTTAACACGAATAAACACAAAATAATTAATTATAAATTTAAATACGAGTACTAAAATTTGACAAGTCAAGTTCAAGTCTGGCGACTGAGCAGGCCAGGGCAGGACATTGATGTTAGCTGCGGCGAGAGTCTGTCTTACAACTCTTGCGGTGTGCGGTCGTGCATTATCATGCATTAACTGAAATAAGGGACCGATTTGCACTTGTAGAGGAACGATGACGTCTGATACAATCGTCTCAGCATAAATTTGAGCGTTGAGGTTGCCTCTGATCCAAATCAACTCAGTTCTTCCGCCGATCCAAATACCCGCCCATACCATGATGGTTCCACCACTATAAGGATGGACTTCCTGGCAGGATTTTAATCGCTGTTGGCGTCCAGGGGTTCTCCAGTGTCGTATACGTCTTGTATCCGGTCTCATACCAAAACGAGACTCATCAGAAAAGCACACGAAACGCCATTGTTCTTCTGCCCAATTTCTGTGTTCAAGAGCCCATTGATATCGAATCCTACGATTGTGCATTGCTATAGGTGGTACCCGTAGCGGTCTTCGGGAATGAAGGTTCACTTCATGCAAGCGGTTTCTGACTGTTTGGTCGCTAATTAAGTTCCCTGAAGAGTGATGAAGCCTCACGGCTAACATCATGGCGGTTATTGTTGGAGCTCTTCGAGTTAAGATTTGAATGTATCGGTCTTGTCTCCGTGTGGTGCATCGATACCGTCCTCCATGGCGCTCAGCCACGGTACCAGTGCTTCGGTATCGTGTCCAAAGTCGACTGATAACACTCTGACTTGTATTCAGAGCTAAAGCCACAGTACGTTGCCGGGAACCAGCTTCTATCATTCCCACGGCTCTGAGCATTTCTTCCCTGCTTAAATGACGTCGCCGCTCCATAATAACGTTGGTTTTAATCAGTAGTAGGGAAACAGTAGCACTAATAATGTCTTCAATGCGTTGTATGTTTTTATAGGGAAAATATTGACAGCTGATTTTCATCTTTTACTCGAATTTGATTCACAGTTCCTGATTCAAATTATGAAATGCACCAAAAAGGATCCATATAAATTTATAAAATCATAAATTTATTACAAAGCCACATCTCAATCTCAAGAAATCCGCATAAAAATGCTTGATCCCTAGACACTTTTGATGTGTGTAGTAGACTAATGGTTCGGCTCGTTTGCTTTTTGGACAGTATTGCTTTGACATTTATAATATTCAGGTATATATTCAATAGCCAATAACTGTCCCGAATATGTGCTCCATTAAGTGATTTGCAACTGTCAAACGGCTTTTTACTGTTGAATTTTTAAATGCTTTATTACAAACTAGCTTTTGCTCGCAGCTTCGCTCGCGTTAGGTTGATTTTGTGAGCTAATTCTGATTAACGATTAATTTTAACTGCCGACTGGAGGTTACTTAACTGCAAAAAGTAAGAAAAAATAATAAATTTATAGATTCTGTAATGTTCTGCCTCGCCGCGAAGTGAGGTTTATGGCAGATAAAATCATGGACACTAAATAGAGCATTATTTAAGCATTCTCTTATTTTATATGATGTATGTTCTTCTCATTACGTGGTGCATGAATATTTCACGTAAGCATAACTAGTACACTTAATTTAAATTAGAGTTTATGCGACACACAATTGCACAAAAAATTTTGAAAGTCAGCCGGGATAATAACTGCATTGTTTTATAATAAAGTTTTTACCTGAAAATTTCTTTAGATTAATAAATAGACCAAATTATTACTTAAAATACATATAATAAAAAATCTAGCTACCTAATGGTGATGAATGAATTTTAGATATAGGTTCAGTAGTTTGAGAGTTTATTTTTTACAAACATACAAATCTTGCCTCTTTATAATGTTAGTATAGTTAAATTCATTACATTTAATCAATGAAAAAATGTTACAAATAAAGTAAGTAAGTATTTTTTTTAGGAAGTGGGGTGCTATTTGTTAGTGTTATTTTATGCTAATATTTTAGGTAAAAGTACTTTCGAATTTAATTTGGTAAACAGTATTTCGTTATTCGCTAATTTATACATATTATACTTATTTTGTTTGAATTGGGTAGAAAAAAGTAAGTGGCAAGTAATTGATATGATTGCACATACTAGGCTAGCAGCCCGATTGACAGGTGGAAGTACTCTTTATTCGATCTTAACACTTTCGATAAAGAGGGAAGACCAGAAAGCCCGTGACTTATAACAGGTAAACGCGTTCAAAGAGAACGACAAAGATGTAAATCAATACATTGGGGGACAACTGACATTGCTATGGTGCTGTAAAAAAATCCCGACTTCAAATTAAAACTGAAAAGAAAAAAGTCAAGTCCAGCAGTCTATAATTCTATTAAATAAGGAATAAAGCTACTTTTACAGTCGAGACCCATTACTGGTAAAATTTGATCCATTCTAGAATATCTAATGGGTCCCGACTGCTAATGTAGCTTTGTTCCTTACTTAATAGAATTATAGACCACTGGACTGTTTTTTTCTATTCAGTTTTAATTTGAAGTATTTTTAAAGCAGTCGGGTTTATAGATTTGATGCTCAGCTGCTAATAGTCTTATCATGATGCTTATATAGCCTATAACCTTCTTCGATAAATGGGCTATCTATCACAAAAATATTTTTTCAATTTGAATCAGTAGTTACTGAGATAAGCGAGTTTAACCATAAAATATGAATGAATAATATAAGTTAAGATCATATATGTGTAGATATTTTATTATCTAACCATTGCCAGTATACCATACCTTACGTTTCCAGCCAGTAATTTAAGTGGTTTCTGCACTAATCCGAAGAAAAAAAAGGTAAACAACTACTAGTTGTAAAAAGGTATTAATATCGTTTAAAGGTTGCTTTGTTTTTAAGTGCACTGTTGATCGATAGAATGTTATAGAATACTCAATACCAATATCGACATATTAGTGTTGGGTCGTCTTCATTGCTGATAAAGCGTAATGAAATGATATGAGTTCACCCGGGGCTATTATAGCCAGGGGGCAAATGTAGCTGTTTCAAATAACTCATTAGGTACTGTTTCGTTTTCAAAATAAGTTACATATGTGGTTCTGTAGAGTAACTTTTATTGACCTACATATAGACTTCGCCAATAACACGAAACAGTAATGCGTTACTTGAAACAGCTACATTTGGCCCCTGGATACAATAGGTTTACGTTTAGGCACACAGTGTATTTATATAGAGTACCTATTCAGCTTTATAAAACGTATGTACGTGGTAAAAAATTGCTTTTACGGAGTTTCTTGCCGGTTCTTCTCAGTACAAGGTCTTCCGCCGTAGATTTACGACCCGATGGCAAAGTGTTTGACGTTCACATGAGCTTGTGACAGCGTAAACTGAATAAATAGCTTTTAAATTTAACTAATTAGTCAACACAGTATATTCCTTTAGTAGCTTTCACTGTGCTTCACAATCGCCCGTGGCTTATATTCTAAAATCAAAGAAAATAACGGTCCACTCAGCGGGAAAGGCTTTAAAAATTGGTTATTTCAAATAAAGTACTCAGTGCTGAAACGATCTGAATATTGTTATAAAAACTGGAACTTTCTGTGGACTCTCGAGTTTTCAATTAAGAACATAATTGATCGAAGTTTTTTAACGAATGTCTGAGAACTCGCTGAGTGGGATGCGTTTTTCTTGCGCTATACCCACTGACTGATACTAAAGTGCTTATACAGAGTGCCAGAGCGGGAACGGGAACGGGAACGGGAACGGGAACGGGAACGGGAACGGGAACGGGAACGGGAACGGGAACGGGAACGGGAACGGGAACGGGAACGGGAACGGGAACGGGAACGGGAACGGGAACGGGAACGGGAACGGGAACGGGAACGGGAACGGGAACGGGAACGGGAACGGGAAAGGGAACGGGAACGGGAACGGGAACGGGAACGGGAACGGGAACGGGAACGGGAACGGGAACGGGAACGGGAACGGGAACGGGAACGGGAACGGTAACGGGAACGGGAACGGGAACGGGAACGGGAACGGGAACGGGAACGGGAACGGGAACGGGAACGGGAACGGGAACGGGAACGGGAACGGGAACGGGAACGGGAACGGGAACGGGAACGGGAACGGGAACGGGAACGGGAACGGGAACGGGAACGGGAACGGGAACGGGAACGGGAACGGGAACGGGAACGGGAACGGGAACGGGAACGGGAACGGGCGCGGTGTATTTATACTGTTCTAAAACTACGCGCTTCCTACTAGGATGAAGATTTGATTATATTAATGGAAAATTCATTTTAAAACTGGGAAGAAAATTATGTGAAAAAATTACGCTATACATGAAATGAATAAAGGACGAGAAGAATTGGGAGAATTTAATGTACCATACGCCGATTTTCGGAGTAATCCAGTCAACTTCTTCGAATACACTAGAAAGACAATAAATACATTTGATTTTAAATTAAATAAGATCTCAACACATTTGATAATTAATAAAACAATATAAATTCTTCTGTATCGATTTTCATGTTGCCGCGGGTGAATCAAAAAGGTTTGGAATCAGACGCGTTAGCCAGAGAAAGACGCTAGAACACTGTGAAAGAAACAGGCGGATTGAGCCAATAGAATTACCCGCGCGATAGTCACGCTACCCGCACCCGCCCCCGCGCCTATGCAGACGCGCGACCACTGTGAAAGCGAGAATCGTCAAGATACATTTGATCTACCCGTACCCGCACCCGCGCCCGCACTCGCCTTTACTCTGAAAGAACACTTACGGTTCTCGTCCTCCACCACACCTGTAATTCTCAGGCGAGGTTTCAGTTAAGCGGTTTTCCTACAACTTGGGACACTAAAGAGTCACAATCATGGATATTTTATGATATTAACTATTCAAATCTCTAATACAAAATGGATTTCTTTTTTTCGCTGTAGGTAACGGGGACGAAGTCGTGGGCATGAGCTAGTATAATGTTATTATTTATTTAACTTTGATTTGCCTACAACCTACATGATCAAACTTAAAATTCATCTTTCTAGGTCATAATTAAATTTTTTTTACTTATTTATTTAATCAAGTACTATTATAATTATTCTAATAAATATAGTGCAAACTACAATCGTCACTGTACATTACTTATATTATAATTAGAGTCCCGGGATCCCGGTCATATTTTAGTTCCGAAATTTTCGGTATTAAATGAAATGAATCCCGGGATTTTCGGGATTGATATATTTTTTATATAAGGCAATAAAAATATACGTGAAACGAAACGCACTTACTTTCATTTCACGATTTCACTGCCATCTTGTTTACACAGCTGACTTCATTTATTTCTGCTAACGACCGGTACCGGATTATGTGTAAAAGTATGTAAAGATTCCGCTGCACGTCGTGTTAATATTGATATATTTTTGTTAATTGCCTGAACGCGCTTTTTCCGCCTCATCCTATTTGTGCAACAAATTGAGAAGTATGCTTTCGGATGAGATGTTGGATGCATTATTATTCCTTAGATTTTATTTTCGTAGCTTAAATAAGTACTTTATAAAGTTTCTGGTCTATTTCATTTTAAATATGGGTACCTAAACACTTTGAGGGTAGTAAAATAGATAGTAGCCGATTCTAGCATATAAAATTTTATAAAAATCGGTCAAGCCGTTTCGGAGGAGTATGGTAACTAATATTGTGACACGAGAATTTTATATATAAGATTACAGTAAAAAAATTGCGGGCATTGGAAAGTTAAGGATTGTTGATAAAAACCAAGCATGTATTAATAAACAATGTCGGCACCTACAAAATGTTAAATACTTAACTATTCAGGTATTGTAAAATACTGGGCAACATTTGATATTCTATACTTAAATTGTTTCGAAAAATAAATAACAGCTTAATAAAAGAAGGAAAAAACAATTAAAAAAATAGCCGAGCTGAGATTCGAACAACCGATGTCGATTTGGTGTCGACCCAAAGACCGTTACCGTTCGGTTATCTGTGTCTCGCAGAGCATTTCAAAATTACGGATACCTTGTGTCAAATACTGTTAAATTTTTGTTTCATCGAGTTTCAAATCACCAAGGTGCTTAAGAAGTTTTCACTTCAAAATTGATAATGTGCGTTATGTTTAAAAACAGTATTTAATTAATCACTTTAAATGAAACATTAATATACCATTTAATTTAAGCCATATTTTTCGCTAACAAAAATAAGCTTTATTACTTAGACACCAAGTTTTATAAATGTATTTGCGATCGCACACTCCATTTAAGAAATTTCAAACAAACTATTTTAAAGGTTAGTTAATTTAAAGCACGCTTGCTTATATGCTACTCTTGCTACAATCCTTAATTTCTCGATAGATGGCGACACTAAAACGAATTATTTACATATTTTACAAAGATTAGATAGAAGTTATGTAGCGATTAACGAGCAAGAATGTAACTGTACTCTTAGCACGAAGCAATACCGAAGTCGAATAGTTTGCGAGTCCGAAATGTCATTGTCAATTTTTTTATGGAAACTAATGGTGAAAACTAATGATGGAAACTGGAATAGCAGCGCCACAAATTAAAATAATAATAATAATATATTCTCTTGTAACACTGAAATTTACAAAAAGAAGAAAGCAATATATAACAATGCAATCAGTAAAGTATCGGCGATCGTTAAATATTTCACAACCTGAAAATGAATTGTGAGAAGCTGGCGCCTGAAGAAGGCATTAAAAGCCTGTACTACAAGCCGCCAGGCTCCCACCCCACAGTATTATACTACATTGACCTATATTAATTATAAAATAACTATATTTCCTTTTTCAACATAATGATTACATGTTTAGTATCGTCTGTGTATGTTATTAAGTGTAGGTTTTCACACTTTATCGTTGAGTTGTCAAGAGAGACTCCGTGCTGTCATAATTCATGGCTCCCAACCAATCGTGCACCTTTGCCTTGGATTCTGTACTGCATGTATATATTCGAAGTTTCCTATTGATGCTATTATACAAAAAGCTACCCCAAAAACAAAAATACCTCTTTGTAAACGCTTTTCTAGCTACAAAGGTGGGACAAACACTCCTGTTCGTTTGTCTATCATCAACAGTACTACTACCTTCCTCATGTGCAATTACCGAATGTTGTTTTAACACAGTTTCCATAATAAAAAGTTGTCGAACTGATAAGATTGGCCAGTGGTGATAAAGAAGCTCGGTGGAGTATCTAAATGGCAAGAAACCACATACTTTTAGAATGGCCCTTTGCGCAATCTCACTTTGCTTTAAGGCACTCTTTGCTGCACCACCCCAAGAAGTGATGCAATCTGTGAGTAGGCTTAAGTACAAAATAAATACGTATACATGCTACCTTAACCAACACATATCGCACTTTTTTATGTAAATAAGTTTACGCAGCCAATCGTACATCAACTGTAGATTTTTTTTAATGACAAATTACTGTCAATCGTTATATTACAGAGTCCTGACCCTGTGGCAATTTATGCATAGAAAACTTCACATCATTGGTTTTATCGGTGTTTAGGGTAAGCAAATTAGTTTTTAAACAGCTGTTAATTAAATTGAATCCCCGTTGGGCAGCATCCTATGGCAATTCCCAGATGAAAGAAGAAAAGAGAAGACAGGTGTCATCTGCGTACGATATAATGCGGCCAAATGGAATCTGCAGGGAAGATAGGTCATTTATGTAGACCAAAAATAATGTAGGACCCAGGATATGACCCTGTGGAACACCGTAGTTCATCTGAGCTTCATCACTCGCGTAATCCCCTATATTAGTACTTTGTGTTCCATTAGAAATATAGTCTGTCAAAAGATCTAATTGCACACATCTACAGCCATAAGATTTTAACTTTTTAATAAGATCGGGTTCGAGACTGTATTGAATTCCCGTGCGAGATCCAGAAAAATCCTATCACCTTGTTGCCCTTGTCTAAGTGTTTAACTACATAATCTTTCAACTCATGCACAGCCTGGTCAGTAGATCTGCCACGTCGAAACCCAAATTGATTATCAGAAAGCATCCCATTTGATTCCAGGAAATTCACGAGTAGAGAGTTAATATTTTTTTCCAAGATCTTACAGAACGCAATGAGGATGGATATAGGACGATAATTCCCGACACAATCTCTATCACTGGATTTGTAAATTAAATGAACAATAGAATGTTTAAAAGCAGGAAAAACTCCCGAGTTAAAAGAAATATTAAAGATATGTGTTAATGGAGCGATAAGAAGAAGTTACTTTTATTGGTGTATGTTTATAGTTAACCACTTTTTTTTAATATAGCCGAATGGATATGAATAGAATTTCTTTATGCCTAAAGGTTGACTGGAAGAGAATGCTTTTAGCGTTAAGTCCGCCTTTTTTTCTATTTTTGTAATTGTGGCAATAAAGTTTAAATAAATAAATAAATAAGAAATGATCTAAATTGTTTTATAAATACGTTAGAGATGCCATCCCAACCGTCAGTGCACACGTTCCAAAGACTTAATTTATAACGCTCAACTTCATCTTCCGATAATACAATTCCGAAATACCGATATTTAACAAGAGATGCCGTTCTTGTCTTCTTAAGTCTCTTATAGCAAATTATAAAATTACGGATACATATCTTGTGTCTACTTCCGTTTCATTGAATCTGAAGTCACAACGATACTAAAGAAGTTTTTACTTCTAAAAGTAATCTTAACATTGATTATCCTCAGTTTATGCAAACATATATAAAAATATACAAATTCGCTGTGTTTTTCTATAAAGTGCAGGTTACTGTCCCAGAAAAGATCAATTCTAAATAATAATATCGTGATCCCAAATATGTGTACCAGATAACGTGTGGTACTAAGGTAAGTACTTACCTAAACGATATCCGAAGCTGTAAAGCATTATTAAAAGTCATTCGTACGAGTAGGTACGAGTGCTAATGAGTTTTTATAATGTTTTAAAGCTTTGTCGATTATTATCAGGGAATTCTAAATGTCTGTTTAATACATGGATACAATTATAGTTATTATATGCGTAGTGTCCATATTTTTTAATATTTTTTTCCGTATTTTATTGATAGAACATAATTATTCAATTTACGAGTATGTTTCTTGAAATTATTAATAATATTAGGCGGATTGATTAGAAGTTTGTTCATAAAATAGAAATTGTTATGACAAGTCATGTGAATTTCTATTTTATGAATTAGCGAAATGCTGACATACGAGGATCTTGAAAGCAGGTTTACTGGGTGCTATTCTCACGGAGAG